TATCAAGAATTGTTTATTTGGCCAGATATTATTACAGGGTTCCTTCTGCAGCAGCCATGTAAACTAAGAGCCTTACTGACTTACGACCTTTCATCTAATCATACAATATTCAAATTTTTGTTTGCTTGATTAGTTTGATCCAGTGGAAGTAAAACGCAAAAGTTGAGATAATAACATCCTTAAACTAATTGATAAACCTTTAGTGAGTCATTCGAAGTTTCTCTTGACTTTATAAAGCTTAAAAAGGTGATAAAATCTATAAACTAACACATAAGTAGATCGAATCGACATCTCATTCACTCCATAAAAACTCCACCGAAACTGTAAAAATCAATGATAACATGGCATCTATGTCGTAAATCACGAAAAAGTCCATGTAATAAATGTATCAGGGAAAAACAAATCAAAACTCCAGTTTACGTTAGAACTGAATGAAAAGCGAGAATATAACTTTAGCATGAAAGCTTTAATATGTGGCCAAGGTTCCCTGAAAAATTTACTCAGCTCAAGCTCCGCTCTCAGGGGTGAAGTGGACCATCAATTATGTTTGTGAAGATCTTCATAAAAGTAACAAACTTGTAAGGGGGACTTAACGGCAGAGTCTTGACTTTCCTTGGATCTTTGATCGGCTGACCGTCTCCATCTTTGTTTGTGACAGAAGTTTGTCCAGGCTTCTGGGACCAATTTCCACAGGCATCCAAGCGATAAAAATGAAAATCAAGACCTGAGTAATAAGGAAGCAAAAGCAGTACATGTTAACATGATTATACAAACTCAATATTCACGAACAAATGGTCCAAATTTCTGGGAGGAGCTAAAGTTTAAGCATGAACTCCAATTCTTGAAAAATAGTTCAGACTTTTTGTATTCATTGGTGCAAAATAACTCCCGCGCAGTGTGTTTTGTTCTAATCCTTCTCCATCTCCTCCAAGTCCAAGCTCCTTGCTTTCAGATGGTCTATTTTATGTATCGTAAAGCCTTACCACAAAATTGAATAGAGTTTAGAGGTAGAAGAAGACATTCCAAGAAACTATTGATATTAAACAATCAGATTATGAGCTCGAGATTTCTATTTAAACAATAGAGTGTTTCTGTCGAGGAACTATCGTGATTTGGTTAATTTGACAAGTTTTTTTGGTTACGATGTACAGCAAGAAAGAAACTGGGAATTTATGATNCTCCAGTTTACGTTAGAACTGAATGAAAAGCGAGAATATAACTTTAGCATGAAAGCTTTAATATGTGGCCAAGGTTCCCTGAAAAATTTACTCAGCTCAAGCTCCGCTCTCAGGGGTGAACTGGACCATCAATTATGTTTGTGAAGATCTTCATAAAAGTAACAAACGTGTAAGGGGGACTGTCCGGCAGAGTCTTGGCTTTCCTTGGATCTTCGATCAGCCGACCGTTTCCATCTTTATTTGTGACAGGAGTTTGTCCAGGCTTCTGGGACCAATATCCACTGGCATCCAAGCGATAACAATGAAAATCTTGACCTGAGTAATAAGGAAGCAAAAGCAGGATATGTTAACATGATTATACAAACTCACTATTCACGAGCAAATGGTCCAAATTTCTGGGAGGAGCTAAAGTTCTTGAAAAATAGTTCAGACTTTTTGTATTCATTGGTACAAAATAACTCCTGCGCAGTGTGTTTTGTTCTAATCCTTCTCCATTTCCTCCAAGTCCAAGCTCCTTGCTTTCAGATGGTCTATTTTATGTATCGTAAAGTCTTACCACAAAATTGAATAGAGTTTAGAGGTAGAAGAAGACTTTCCAAGAAACTATTGATATTAAACAATCAGATTATGAGCTCGAGATTTCTATTTAAACAATAGAGTGTTTCTGTCGAGGAACTATCGGTCTGATAGTTGCCCCGCGGAATTTGATGTTCTTAAAACAAATATTTGCCTAAGAAGCGAAGCTTCGAGGGCAAATATGCTAGTTTTAAGAACATCAAATTTCGAAGGGGCAACTATCAGACCGATAGTTCCGAGACATAAACACTGTATTGTCTTTATTGTTCACCACTAAATTTTCTTCCGTGCGCCAGTTCAAAAAATCATATTGAATTATTTTCAACTTTTTTAAATGAAAGCCGTGAAAGCCAAATGTAAAATTTGAAAAAGGAAACAAACAAAAACCCTCTTAAGACAAATTCAATTCTTTATTTTCTATAAGCCCTGTTTACAGAAATATTTTCACGGACGAGTACTATCTATCCGAGCGTTTTCCTCGGACGGGCGCTATGGGCTGATAGTGTCTCTCCTCGGATGAACACTATTGCGTCACGTGATCAATTTAAACCAATAAGAATCGGAGAAAATTTAGTGGTGAACTATAACGCGTGATAGTTTACGAGGGCGTAGAAATCGAGAGCGAATAATCTAATTGTTTTAGTATAAATGTACTTGTCGTTCAAAACTTTATCTAAATCCTCTTCACAGATACTTAAAAAATGCCAAGAAGCGGCCGTCATTTTGTTAGCAAGGACACACTACTACGCTACTCACTATCTATCACAGAATAGATAGTGAGCAGCGTAGCCAATCAGTGAACGGGATTTGTGATAGAACGCTAGTAGATTTATACTAATATTAATTATCATTACATCAATTATTATAATTATTCCCGAAGGTGTCCGCTTAATACAGGTCTGACTGCACTTGACTGCCGAAAAATAAGATACTGAAAATCACAAGATTTTTAGACGAGAAACGGAATGGAGAATTGAGGAGAATTCGAACGATGCGCTTCGCTGTTGATAATAAAAAATAATAATACTAATAATAGTAATAACAATGATAATAATTTATTAATTTATATTGCGCTTTTTAACATTCAATGATCAAAATCGCACTACAAGATGCGCAGCCAAGCATCAAACAAAGTGAGTTCTGGGTGCAAGATTAGGGGGTCGTTATGATGAGAGAGAATCTTTCATTCCAAAAACTAATTGGACTTGTTTGTTTGTTTGTCTGTTCTAAACATAATGATTTGACACATTTTTGCAAGTTCTGCAGCTAAAATTAACATTTCAAGTGTATACTTAAGCAAGCTTTCCAATAGCAGCCTTGTATTTAAAAAAAAGTCAAATCAACAACGCTAGGGCAGATGGCCATTTCTATAGCTTTACCTGGATTTAACGATCTTGGACGTTCGGTGACCCCTATTTTTCTTTCGATGGATCATTTTCTCTACCGATTTTCTACGTTTAGCGAAA